CAAATACCTCTCTGCTCAGAAAAGACCAACATAACAGTCCATCCATTTACACACTAAGCATCATAGTACACAATGGACTAAGTTTTTCACTCTGCAGCTGACATCTTCCTCAGACTTTCTTTCTGAACATAGTAACAGTAAGGCTCTCTTGCGCCATGTTGGTCGAAATATTGTTTCATGCTCTCAATAGCGGTGCATGCATCGTCACGGTATAAAATGCTAGTCAAGCTCACGATCTTTCTCTCCTTACTACCATAGATGCCATTTCTGTAACAATTCAAAAACATCATTCTCTCAATTCTTGTAGTGGTACCGTCATTCTACCTCATACCATTGTTCAGCCTAATGTTCAGACATGTGGTGACGACATTCTGGAACAGTTTGAGCTCCAAGACTTCCCAATTCTCAAAGTAGACACATATGTACTACCTGCCCGCAGACGGAGAAGCTACTCCTGCAATGCAGCTCACTTAACTTTTGATTGCCGTTAGCTTCCGTTCTCGGTTTATACCGCGGGACACCATTTACAAATCCGAAAGTTAAACCCTGTACTACAACAGTGTAGAAGTTGCCATCCAGCGAAACATTGCAGGTCCATGGCGGAATGTCCAGTCTTTGGTGCCGACGACCATACCAGTGCGTCTTTTAGTCTACCTCCCTCTTGCCTTAATTGTAATGAAGCTCACCCATCTTATTCTTGTCGTTGCCAAGTTTACTTAAATGACCGAGAAATCTGTTATATCAAAGAGACAGAAGGCTTTTCTTACGCCATGGCAGTCTCTCATCTATGCGTCCAGGGAAGACTTTCCCATATTTCTTATTCTCGAGTTATTAAGAAGCCTCCAACCTCTAGGGTCCCATCTCCAGTAGTCTCCCCTATGGTTACACCTTCCACAGTCTCCTCCGCATCTAACTCTTTTGCAAGTCCTAGACTCCGAGGTCCCTACCTCGTCACCTTATACTGTTCTCAAATCTTCATCTTCTCACTCGCAAGTTTCTTTGTCTACAAGACCTTGCACAACAGCTCCTTCCCTTCGTCCCTCTACTTCTCCAAAGTCCAAACAATTCACAAAATGTAAATCTCCTTTAACCTCTCCTTCACTTATCCTACCAGGACTCTTTCCTTTCCAGTCTCTGTATCTAGCTCTGTACCTCTTACCAGCTCTGTTACGAGTGTGAAGGTTCATCCTTCCCCTTGAACAGTCCCTTCCTCTTCTGTCCCCTCCCAGATTTCTTCCTCTCTTGTCCCCTTCCTAAGCTTCTTCTCAAGTTAACTCTAACCTTTCGTCTCCTTACTTTACTACACAAACTTTGATGATCCTTCCTCTAGCACTCCTCACAGCCCTTTCTAACTCTCCCTCTGTTGTCCACTCCACCCTTGCTACTCTATAATCCTGCACTATCCCTGCACTTGCTCGGTAATATAGAATCTCAAGATACAACACTTGTTTCACTGTTCATCAACTTTTAATTGACATTGCTCACTGCATATTTCTGTCCCTCACTCTTTTAATTACACTGTATCACTGGCGTCTGACACTTCATTACGGACACTGTCCTCAGACTCCTCCTCACCTTATTCCCTTCAAGGAGGAGGAAGGACACTTTTTGTCCTTCCCTTCGTCGGATAGCAGCATTTTTTTTTTTTGCCTCCCATTCAACCGATACCGATTTAGCTCTTCCTCGTGAAAATAATAATCCTATTCTCAAATTATCTCCAGTTCTCTAAATATGCTCTTGCAATTTAGAGACATTCTTCTAACTTCTGGAACAGACCTGTGGATTCAGCAGCTGTCAAAATTTATCCATATCTGTCGTATGTGCTCCACACTTATGTGTGTTGCATTGGCTATAAGCTGGATCTTGTAACCACTCGTAGACTTTTGTATAAAAAACTAATTATCCAAATGGTCTTTCATGTCTCTCTTTCTTTGTATGTTCCAGCAGTACAACTATAGGGAATTAATATGTTTAGGATATACTTAGAGCTGTATAGTAGACCACAAAGCATATCAACAATGCTAGCCTGGGCAAGGAGGATACGGTGCTTCACTAAAAATATACTAACAGCCACTTGACACTAACTTAGAGAATAGGTCTATAGGCTCAATTTAAAACATAGACATTCTGTTGAATTGTGGTTGTGGTTGGCTCTGCTTAATTAGCATAACATGTCAAAATTTCCTGGTTATTATTTACATATATTAGTATTTTTTTCTAAATTCTAAGGACGGGAAGTTTCCCCTTGCTTATTTTATCTCTCCCAGAAGATACCAAACTGCATTCATTGTTAATGAAACTGTAAGTTTATCTCCCGAACATCATAAATGATCTGCATTGCGAGTGATAAGATCAGGAAACCATAAATACCTCAGTATGCTAGACAGATTAAAGCTGGACATACCCGTGGTCGCCAAGAAGTTCTTGTAAGTGACCCAGTGACTGTAGTCAGTGGCCTGCCAGCCTAGTACGTGGCGGGTAAACGCGAAGACATAGGGAGCTAAGGGAGAAAACACAAGGTTAATCTAAAAAAAAAATAGGTAAAAAATAGGTATAGGTTAATGGATACCACACGACTCTTTAGAATGTTCTCGATAAGCTTTCCTAATCATATATCTTTTGTTTCACAGTTTTCTTCTGCACTGATCAAGTCCCACAAGTTAAAAATTCGACTTAATTTTTTAAAAAATTGTTTAAATGAACAAGTTCTGCCCAAGTCTCTTTTACCCAATAGACTCCTTGACATGAGAGATCGTCCTTTTGATGATTTTATGAGAATTATTCTTCAGAAACATATTGAAATAACTAAAATACAGGAGAAGGAAGCATTCAAAATATTGAGAAACAAAAAATACTCTTTTAATCAGGCCATTCCATCAGAATGGAAACACAGTATGTTGGATCATTGCTATAATAAACTCAGAAGAATTTGTAATGAACTCAAGAGAAAACTACGAAGAAAATTAGACATTTTAATTGAAAATAGTGATTGGACAAAGCATGCTAATAACAATTTTGTAATTAACTTATCAGATGAAATTTTAGACAAACATACAACTGCTGCTCTAGCTTTTGGCCTAAGTTTTGCAACTTCAAAAAAACTTAATAATGTTGAAATTGCAAAAGCTTTTTGTAACTTTGAAAAATTTTCTGATTTATCCTCTGATGAAACTAATATTAGTAAAGGAATGGTATATAGCTCTATGTTAAAACCAAACATTCCCAATTGCCCTCAAAGATTCTTTAAGTCTTATGATACACTTAATAACAATAAAAATTTGCGCCTTACTAAAGCAGACAAAATAAATGCAATAGTAATTATGAAAAAAAAATGATTACCAAGAAAAAATGAATAATCTCTTAGATGATACTGAAACCTATTCTAAACTTAGGAAAAACCCCTAGAAACCGTTTAACAGCAATTTCAATAAAACAATAAAACATCTACTGAAAGGCAAAGATGAATTAGTCAAACAATTTACTTCCACTAATCCATCTTTACCTTACATGTATGGACTAATAAAAACACACAAACCAGGGAATCCAGTCAGACCAATTATTAGCTCCATAGGATCAGTTTCATATAAATTATCCAAATGGCTTGTTGATATTTTGAGCCCTATTGTTGGCAAAATTTCTAACTTTAATGTTAAAAACAACATAGACTTGGTTGATAAATTAAGCTCCTTGACTGACTTAAATGATTTTTAACATGGTTAGTTTTGATGTTACTTCCTTGTTTACGAAAGTTCCTGTTGGATTTATTTAAGTTTCTTATCTGAAGAACTCGTTAACTATGATTTACCATTGCCAGTTCCTACTATCATTAAACTTATTAAACATTGCATTGTTGATGCAAAATTTGTATTTAATGATAAGTTTAAAACTCAGAAGTTTGGTATGGCAATGGGAAATCCTCTTTCACCTGTTCTTAGTAACCTATACATGGAATTTTTTGAAACAAGGTTGCTTAACACAATCCTCCCTAATAGAGCTAAATGGTTCAGATATGTTGATGATATTTTGTGTCTTATGCCCAAAAATGTAGATATACACCATTTTCTTGGAAAATTAAATAGCTTAGCCCATTCTATAAACTTTACTGTTGAGTCTGAAGAAAATAACTCATTGCCTTTTCTAGATGTTTTAATTATTAAGGGTAAAAAATGAATTCAAATTTAAAATTTACAGAAAACCTACAAATAACTGTTCCTATGTCCACTATTATTCCTCGCATCAAGATAGAGTCAAACTGTCTGTTTTCTCATCAATGTTTTTGAGAGCTTTACGAATTTGTAGTCCTGAGTTCATAGATGAGGAAATATCCAAAATTTATGAAATAGGTAATGATTTAAAATACCCAAGAAATGTAATTGATAAATCTTTTAAAGTTGCTAGAAACACTTTTTATAATCCAAAAAGGGGCAACCAGCCTTATTCAACTAAAAATATGTTGGTTCTCCCTTACCATGAAAACTTGGTTGATATGCCTTTTTCTTTTTAAGACTTATAATATTAAAGTTGTATTCAAAAATCTTGATACAGTTAAAAAAACTTTTGATAAAGAATTCCCCCCAAAATGCTGATGGATGTGTCTATAAGATTCCTTGTAAAATTTGCGATAAAGTTTATTACGGTCAAACTGGTAAAAATCTCGAACTAAGATTAAAACAACATAAATATAGCATTAGAACTGGACAAGATTCCAATGCTCTATTTATTCATGTAAGAGATTTTAACCATCCAATTGATTTTCAAAAAGTTGAGAAAGTAGTATCAAGCAAGTCCATGGTCGACAGGAATATAATTGAATCTTGTTTCATAAAAAGCAGTTTTGACAATAATATGAATATTTCCTTTGGTTTATATAAATTAGATCCATTTATAATTAATAGAATTTTGGAAGAATTTAATAAAACACTGGACAAATAATTTTTAAATTTTCTTGGGTAGAATAGCTTGAGGGTGAGTTTTGCAAAGGACCTATCCAAGTTGGCTCGCCGCGCGTCACGTGTTTAACCGTTGTGGGATCTGATAGTGAGGTGCTGGCCGGACCCCTTATATAGCTTCCTTGGATGCTTCACTTTCATAGTTCCTTGATAATGTGAGTAGTCACGAAAGCGCTTGGAATTTCTCTATTCTTTCAGAGTGGTTGTTTTGCATATTTTGAAATCACCCGTTCACTGGATCATATTGCATAATATATATATATATATATATATATATATATATATATATATATATATATAATATATATATATATATATATATATATGCAAAACAACCACTCTGAAAGAGAAATTTCCAAGCGCTTTCGTGACTACTCACATTATCACGAAAGCGCTTGGAATTTCTCTTTCAGAGTGGTTGTTTGCATATTTTGAAATCACCTGTTCACTGTGATCTTATTGCATATATATATAAATATATTATATATATATATATATATATATATATATATATATATATATATTATATATATATATATATATATAGTATGTAATTTACAGAAGTAGGTTGGTAGATAGCAACCACCCAGGGAGGTACTACCGTCCTGCCAAGTGAGTGTAAAACGAAAGCCTGTAATTGTTTTACATAATGGTAGGATTGCTGGTGTCTTTTATCTCCCTCATAAATGTGCAAGATTACAGGTATGTCTTGCTACTTCTACTTACACTTTGGTCACCCTTCACATACATGTACACGTTTATTTATACACACTCATCTAAGTTTTCTTTGATTTTATCTTAATAGTTCTTGGTCTTATTACTTTTCCTTTTATATCCATGGGAAAGTGGAATAATCCTTTAAAGATTACTAAAAAGAATAAGAAGAAGAAAATTGTCAAAGTGGGAAGTCTGAATGTGCGTGGATGTTGTGAAGATGGTAAGAAAGAGATGATTGTGGATGTTATGAATGAGAAGAAGCTGGATGTCCTGGCTTTAAGTGAAACAAAGCTGAAGGGGGTGGGAGAGTTTCAATGGAGAGGAATAAATGGGATTAGGTCATGGGTTTCAAATAGATTTAGAGCTAAAGAAGGAGTAGCAATAATGTTGAAGGATAAGCTATGGCAGGAAAAGAGGGACTATAAATGTATTAATTCAAGGATTATGTGGAGTAAAATAAAGATTGGATGTGAAAAGTGGGTTATAGTAAACGTGTATGCACCTGGAGAAGAGAGAAGTGTAGAGGAGAGAGAGAGATTTTGGGAAATGTTGAGTGAATGCGTGGGGAGTTTTGAATCAAGTGTGAGAGTAATGGTGGCTGGGGATTTCAATGCTAAAGTGGGTAAAAATGTTGTGGAGGGAGTAGTAGGTAAATTTGGGGTGCCAGGGGTAAATGTAAATTGGGAACCTTTAATTGAGCTATATGTAGAAAGAGGTTTGGTAATAAGTAATACATATTTTATGAAAAAGAGGATAAATAAATATACAAGGTATGATGTAGCACGTAATGAAAGTAGTTTGTTAGATTATGTATTGGTGGATAAAAGGTTGATGGGTAGGCTCCAGGATGTACATGTTTATAGAGGGGCAACTGATATATCGGATCATTATTTAGTTGTAGCTACAGTTAGAGTAAGAGGTAGATGGGACAAGAGGAAGGTGGCAACAACAAGTAAGAGGGAGGTGAAAGTGTATAAACTAAGGGAGGAGGAAGTTCGGGTAAGATATAAGCGACTATTGGCAGAAAGGTGGGCTGGTGCAAAGATGAGTAGTGGGGGGGTTGAAGAGGGTTAGATAGTTTTAAAAATGCAGTATTAGAATGTGGGGCAGAAGTTTGTGGTTATAGGAGGGTGGGGGCAGGAGGAAAGAGGAGTGATTGGTGGAATGATGAAGTAAAGGGTGTGATAAAAGAGAAAAAGTTAGCTTAAGAGATTTTTTTTACAAAGCAAGAACTGTTATAAAAAGGGCAAGTATATGGAGAGTAAAAGAAAGGTCAAGAGAGTGGTGAGGGGAGTGCAAAAGGAGAGCAGATGATAGAGTGGGAGAGGTACGGGTCAAAAAAATTTTAAATTTGAAAATAAAAAAAAATTTTTTGGAGTGAGTTAAACAAGTTAAGAAAAGCCTAGGGAAAGTAGGGGTTTGTGTCAGTTAAAAAACAGAGTGGGGGATTAGTAGATAGGGAGAGGGAGGTATTAGGTAAAATGGCGAGAATATTTTAGGAACTTTTAAATGTTGGGGAAAAAGAAAGGGAGGCGGTAATTCATGCACTGGTCAGGGAGGTTATACCATCTTTTAGGGGTGAAGAAGAGCAAGAAGTAAGTGTGGGGGAGGTACGTGAGGCATTACGTAAGAATGAAAGGGGGTAAAAGCAGCTGGAACTGAGGGGGGTCATGACAAAATGTTAAAAGCAGGGGGGAAATAGTGTTGGAGGGGTTTGGTACTTTTGTTTAATAAATGTATAAAAAGAGGGGAAGGTACCTAGGATTGGCGGAGAGCATGTATGTCCCTTTATATAAAGGGAAAGGGGACAAAAGAGATTGTAAAAATTTAAATA